TTATACTAAACAAGTTTTTCTCATATTGCAGTAGCTGCTCTGGTAATTGATAACACTATAATTAAAATTAGGGAATTTCTATTTTGACCTGGGTTATTTTAACCTGTCACGTGACTTCGGGCTCCGATAGCCTACTCGGGCGCCAGATATCCACTGTTTCTAAAAGATACGTGACCGCTATTTTTATAACCAAAATCACGTAACTACTGCTCGATAAGATCTAATCAAATTACAAGTTCAACCGGTTAATACCATGTGCTTTTTTGCATGTTTTAAAATTATAAACAAAATGCACACATTAAAAACTTCAAATTAATATAGGTTTTAAACTTTGAAGTGCGTCATGTTTTACTTACTAAAAAATGAGAACTGTTAAGATCTGATGCCTAGATATTTAAATAATGTTTTTATTAGATGGTTTTATCTTTAAGACACTCTTTTTTATATATTGTACTTAACTTCATATGCATACCATTCAAGTTTCATTTAAGTCAGGCAGCAACATATATTTGAATTCAAAGCAAAATTTGAATCTTGCAAATTCGATCTTATTAAATGATGACCTATAAAAAAACATAGTTTAATAAGTTAGTAATGAGTTTTAGTTGCACAATCTATTTAGTCATTCTATATGTATATTAAACAATTCCGTAATAAACATGCAATTATATAACTTATGTTACAGGAGTGTCATAAAGTTGAACTAGAGATGTGGTAGAGACTGTTACATCCTATGTCGTAACTAGGCTTTAGCAAGTTACGGCTTAAGTTGTAACAGTTTCTACTGCATCTTTGGACAGTAAACTTCACAGATCTGGATAGTAAAACCTTTCATTCTGCTTCAGACAAATCATGCTAATTAAAAAAATTTTTTTATAAAATTTTTAAACTTGATTTGCGATACATTCAAATACTTGTTCACATGTTTCATGTGTTATGCAAAACATAAGCACCTGATCGATGTGTACAATTAAATTAAAATAACGTTCATAAGTTAAATGTTTGTCAACAATTAAATAACTGTAATAAAGAGTTTAAACTAATGCACAAAGTTAAATAGTTTAAATAATATGTAAATTAATATTGATCCTATTACATTATATATAGAACAATAAAAAGTATAAATAGCTAATTAGTTTATATGTACATTTTCTTGCTTTTTCATAACATTAATATGAGCTTTGAACAATTATCTATAAATATTAACCCTGATAATAATAAAGGGAACTTTAAAGCTGATACTAGTCATGATGACAATCCCTTTGATAATAATGATGAACTGAATTTTAGCATCAATATTGGTATTAGTCATGGTGGCAACTCATTTAATAATGCTAAAATGAATTTTAGGAGTAACGATCCTCACAATAATAATAAACTGAACTTTAGCATTGATATTAGTACTAGTTACAGTGGTGATTCCTCTGATATTGATAATAACATCGACAATGAATCCAGTGAAGGTCATAATAGTATGATATCTAAAAAACAAGCAACTTCGATTGATAACAATGCAACAATATTAGTCGGACAAACCTTTGTTGATTGGTACAACCTCAAACAACATATTGATTCCTATGTGATAAAACAAGGTTTTGCAACAAGACTTAGTCATACAGAAAACACTTTGGGCTTTATTACTAGAGCAAAGATTGTATGTCGCTGTGCTGGTGCTCCGAGTAATAAAAGTACTGGGTTACAAAAGACGAAAAGCATAGCTATTGAATGTCCATGTAAAATAGTAATTTGCTGGTCAAAAAATGCATATTACGTGAAATCTGTCAACCTTCAACATATTCATTATTTGGATACAGATGCGATTGTATTTGATCCTAGTCATCGTAAGCTAAGCAATAATGAAAATATACATGTGCAGATGCTCTATGACAGGAGTGTACCGGTGTCAGTGATTGTTGATATGTTGACTGAACAATATGATAGATATATTCATAATAAAGATGTATATAATTCTTTAAATAATCGTTCTCGTGATTATGTAAAGGGATTATCACAAACAGCAGAATTATTAAATACTTTGAACAATAATAAGAAATATCTAGTTACCTACTCAGTTAATAATAGCAAGCTCCATTGTTTATTTTTTGCTACCCGATTTGCGCTTTCAACATTTAAAAGATATTCAGAAATTTTATTAATTGATTCCACATATAAGACAAATCGGGTTGGTATGCCACTCCTACTTATTAGCGGGATTGATGTAACGGGTTTGACATTTCTTATTGCAAGTGGGCTTCTTGCAAATGAGACAGCACCAAGTTTCTGTTGGATATTACATCAATTAAAACAAGCAATTGGAGACATAACTGTTCATAGTATAAGAATACTTGTAACTGACAGAGACCTTGCCCTTATCTCTGCTGTTCGAACC